ACTCCCTACAACACCAAAATGCCTTGAGTTTGACTGCGTGCCTTGGATTGCATGGAACTTACACTTGCTATTATATGCACATGCATGAGTTTCCCTAACCTCTCAGGTTATGCTGTGACTCCTTATAAAAAAGAATAATACTGTTACATGAGCAAAAAAAAAAATTGAAAATCACTGCTTCAACACAACATGTCAGTTGACAAAATTAAACTTTAACAACTAACAAAGTCAAAGCTGGTATCACATCCCAGACTTCCAGATTGAGTTCAGTGCAAAGTCAAGACCCTGAAGGGCAAAACAGTAAAGAACCATGGTTAGGGAGGGACAGTTTTGCCACAGATGCTTGACCTTTGGGACGCATGCCCACAGCACCTAATTTAGGATCTACATACATACATACACAAACAGGTAGATTTGTTGTTCAGTTGTTTCTGACTCTTCATGACCCCGTTATGAGGTTTTCTTGGCAAAGATACTAGAATGGTTTGCCATTTCCTTCTCCAGTGGACTATGGCAAATAGAGATTAAGGGACTTGCCCATGGTCACACAACTAGTAAATATCTGAAGCCAGATTTGAACTCTGTTTTTCCTGACTCCAGGCCCAGTGCTCTAACTACTGAGCCATCTAGCTGCCTCTGAAACATTTATATACACACATACATATATAATACATTTGTGTATATATGCAACTAATGTATATACATGTAAGCATGTATATGCACATATGTTGAATTGAATGGAAAATTAATTCTAAAAATCAGATCGAGTGTTCATATGGGAAGATTTTCCTCCATAGTTCCCCATCTTTTAAGTAAGGGAGAAACTGAGAAGAATTCTGTGTAATGGATTTATGGAATCCACAGAGCAGAGAGCCTCAGCATAATGACTCTTGAAACATGGCCATAAATAACTATCTCTACAAGTTCCGAGGAATTATAAGCTTGAAACTTAGAGGGCCTCATGAAAAATGCAGGAAGAGCTAATGGCATATTATATGTGTCACTCACAGAAATAAAAGGACTTTTTGTAGGGCCTGTCATATGGGAAAATAAGCCAAGAATGATTAATGTAAAAAGAAAGAATGCACAAAGATCTGGCTAGGACAGGAAGGTCTAGAATAACATCTTTCTCTGGTTTGATGCTGGAAATATGCCAGCAGTAAAATTCACTGAGCCTTAAGGTCATGTAATTTTTTTTTTTAAATACAGAATCACTCATCTTACTTAATCATGAAATAGGATACAGAAGCAGATAGCAAATTTAAGGGTCATCTTAATTCTAAATATTTTATCCCAAAGCTTCCCCCAACACAGTTTCTTATCACAGTGAGCATTTTCCCAAAAGATCACAGAATTGGAGTTTTATGAGGCCACAGGGCAACTCTTTTCCTCCTACCAAAACTCAGCAAGACAAAGAATTAAAAGCTTTTCCAGCTACATGTGCTTTCATTGGAATCCTCTGGTCCTTGTCTGTCCTTTCCCCCCAGGACTAGAGACTCCAATATATATTTATGTATGTTTTCACAAATACTTTTTATCATTCAAGTGGCAATTTTAAAAAATTCTAGGCAACATAGTATCCAGTGTACTGTTTACCCAATTTCCCCTTCTTGATGATGGATTGTTCTCCTTTAAAAAAGTCTCACTTCAAGAAATGATGAATTGACAAATTACTTTCACTTTTTATGTGATCTAGTGGGAAAACCAAAGCTACTACTTCTGTCTCTGTCCCTCTCTGGCTATTTGCATGTGCTGAGGTCCGCCATAAATGTGGGGTAGGGGTAGAAACTTACAGATTTTCATAGCAATGGCATGTTCCATTGGGACAGTAAGGAGAGAATACAGCTAAGAGAAGGGTGATAGAAAAGAGGGGAGAATGTGTTGTTTTCTAAGATAAAAATTTGAAAATCTAGACCGTTGCTTTCCAAAATATTTTTTGGGGAAAATCTAATGTTAGATTTTGGACTCTCAGGTTTTATTACATATGTTTACATATGTTATACAAATCCCCTATCTCTCCATATGCTCTTGCTCATATTATATCCTTGCTCAGAAGTCTCTCCTTTCTGCCATTCCAAATGCCACCCATCTTTCCATACCCATTTAAATCCCACCCCTTTTGTAAAGTCTTCCTGAACTACTTCAGGCCATTGTAGTCTCTCCCTCTTTTTAACTCCTAAAGCACTTACTATCTGTACCAATTATTTGGCAATCAACCATGGACTACCTTGTGATACGTCTTCTCCTTTCTTAAATTAGATGGTAAGCTCCTTGAAGACAGAGATCCTGTTTTATAAATTTTAATATCATTCGCCATCAAGTATAATTCTTCATTTAAAGTAGGAACTTGGTAAATATGTTTTGAATTGCTTAAGCATGCACTTCAGTACTTTTGTGTCTGATATAAAAGTTTTATTCCTCTCCACTTTGGTTAAAGTTTCCTAATAGCAATATCTTGGTATGGGCACTTATAATTAAAAGAAAAAAATAAATTAACAATTAAAGCGTCAGTGCCATTTTTAACAGTGTCATCTGTTGGATTTCAGGGGCAGGTGATCATGTGAACAGGAGCTCAAACAATTGCTCATTCAACTAAAAACTGCCTTGTTTCCAAGAAAGATGGTATTACCCTGCCAGCAAGGCTGCTGGGCTCCATCTGCTGCTACCTGTATAGTAAAGGAGAGATTGAGGATGTCCAAGGAACAGAATAGCTTAACAGGAGGCAAGAAAGGTCAGGATGACAATGAAAATGCCTGGAACAGAGAAGGCACTGACATGTTGGTGAGCTTGTAAGGGCTGTACCCTTAACTCATTAAGGCAGATTCCTTAGCTTCAGTACATGAATGTTTTTTTTACTTTTTTTCCTCTCAGTTGTTCAGCCAATTCTCTCCCAAATGAGGAAAGAATGCTCTCCCTCCCAGGAGAGGAATTTGCTCATTCCACATTTTAAATCTACTCAGACTATTCTCCTCAATCCTCAGTTAGGCGCTTAGGGTGGTACATTACTACCAAGGAATGATTTAAGCACTGGGAGAGAATTTGGCTGGAAAATAAGAACTCCCCTATTCCTTTTATAAGGAGCAAAATTTAAATGAATCCTACAAGGATGCTTAATAGATTACGATGATGTCTACTTCTAGATGAAAATACTGGGTGTTACTAATAATCAAATTGCATGCACCTCACAGAATTTTAATGTAAGAGGAATGGGTAGTTATTTAGACTACTTTGGTCCAGCCTATGAACTGTTGGGGAATTGGCAACTATGGGCCCAGTTGGCCTCATAGCATTGCCTCATAGCAATGCACAACTTAGGAGATTGGCTCCCTGTTCTCCCAGGACTAGAGGAGAAGCATCAGGATCTTTCCCCATGTGGCTATTCACGTACTAAATGGCCCTCAGATAGTAGAACAGTGTTTCAGTGAGCAGATTTGAGAGCAATGACAGTTTAGGATGGTATTATGAGGGTGTGAAGAGAATTGGTTTATCTGTGTAAGCTACAAATCAGTGTACATTTCTGAGTATATGAGTAGAGTGGAGACTTAGTATGCATGTCTTAAGTTAACATGCCTAAGCATAGAACTTTAGTACTATTAAATCTCACCTTAAGAGATTCGACCAATTATTCTAGCCTATTGAAATAAATTTGGATCCTGACTCTGTCGTCTAACATAACACTCTCAAATTCTTCTCCTCTATATATTTGACAATAATAATCATTAATGGGTATCATGCTTTAAATTTTGCAGAGTTTTCATATAGCAACTTATTTGCTCCTCCCAACACCTCTATGAGACAGGTGTGATTATTATCCCCATTTTATAATGGAAGAAGTTGAGCCTGCCAGAAGTTAAATGACTCTAGTAAGAGTCTGATGCAGCGTCTGAACTGTCCTTGACTCCAAGGTCAGTGCTTTATCCACTAGGGTCACCTGGCTGCCTGTATAAGCGTGTTTGCTATGAGTTTATTCAATTCACTGTTGGAAATTTTGACTAGAACAAAGCCAAGGACACATCCCCAGGACACATCACTAAAAGCCTCCCTCCAGTTGGACACTAATCCAAAAATCGTCTCTCTTTGTGTTATGCCAGTCTATCAGTTCCAAATCCACACAACTGCACTATTGTCCAATCCCACACCTCTCCATCTTGTCTTCAAATAGAGCAAGAAATACATCAGAGGCCTTGCTGAAATGTAGGAATACTATTTCTATGGCATCCCCTCACCTATTAGTCTAATAGCCGTGGAAATGGAAATAAGGTGAGTCTGGTATTACTTGTTGGTGGTGCAGTAGAGCAAATGCTAGACCTGGAGTTAGAAAAAGTCCTGAGTTTAAATCTGACTTTAGACATTTACTAGTTGTATGACCTTTGACAAGTCACTTAACTTCCATTGCCTCAGTTTCCTCAACTGTAAAATGGGAATAATAATGTCATCTACCTGACAGAGTTGCCGTGATGATAAAATGAGATAATATTAGTAAAACACTTAGCACAGCACACATGGTAGGTGGGTGCTATATAAATGCTAAGTATTATTATTATTATTAAACAAGTACTATTAATAAACAGGCATCATTACTAAACAAATAATAATTATTACTAATAAACAAGTATTATAGTTATTGTTGCTTCCTTTTTCAAGTGACCACAAGCTCTCTCATTAATAATACATTTAAAATTTTTGACAAATGAACATCAAATTCACTGGCATATAATTGAAAAGGCTCTACCTCTTCTTTTCTAAAATCAATATATTCCCAGATTTTTAAAATGTTAATAAAGGGGCAGCTAGGTGGAGCAGTGATTAAAGCACTGGCACCTGAAGTCAGGAGGACCTGAGTTCAAATCTGGCCTCAGAACAAATACTTGACACTTACTAGCTGTGTGACCCCGGGCAAGTCACTTAACCCCAATTGCCTAAAAAAAAAATGTTAATAGATAAATTCCCAGGGTTGGGGAAGATAGAGTGGGTGGGATGTAATATACATTTTCTCTTACCCTCTTGGGCTTGGTTCTGTTGGTTCAGAGTCAAGAAACTCTGTCTCCTCCTCCATTTCCTTTTCTGGGGCCATGCTACCTTCAGGAATCTGTGGTGAAAGCATTTCCCATTCATTGTCATGGGCAACCACCTTTAGCAAAAGAGCATCTCTGTCTGCCTCGCTTGTGGTCTTATTCTTATTCTTCCTTGCCAGGCCACCCTGGCAAGAGGACTTCTCCATTCTTGAAGATTCAAGAGGACTACTGTTTCTTGTCTCGGCACAGACTTCAGTCTGTTCAGCTTCTCTCAGTCTCTGATCTGCAGCCGTGACAGAATGTCCAGACCCCAAGGCCACTCTTTCTGTTTGTCTGAAACTCTCTTCAGGTGATGCATTGTAAACCTCATTTTGGCCTAAGACCATCCAACTTGGGTCTTGCCCAGGGCTTTCGAGAGCTCTCCTTTCATCTTCCAGTTTCAGAGGCACAATGTAAGAACCATTCTCTATTAAAGATCCCACTGCAGACTGGCCTTCCCTTTCATTTATTGCAACTGACTGTAATATATCCTGGGAGGATGCTGAAAACTCTCCTGGAAGCTCCATTTGTTCTGACCCAACAGTGACTTCTTGTAATTGGGATTTACTTTCCCTTGGCTCAAGGGCAACCTTCCTTTCAGAGAAATTTTCTTCATGGTCAACAAGAATATAATCCATTTGTAGTGCACTTGGGTCCTCATTCATCTCCATACATGTGTCTTCCTTGTTTCCCATTCTTAGCTCAGGATCCTTGCTAGAAACAAATTCTACTTCAAAGTCTAATGGGTTTTGGATAACACCTATATTTGAATAAGGAAGAGGGAGGTAGGGGAAAGGAGCAAAGACATTTTGGTTAGATGCATTATGTACCTTTCCTATTTCAAAAGATCCCTTTACAATGAAAAATATTTTCTAAAAATCACTTTTTAAATTTCATAGTGACTGGCTAATTTGTTACTTTCTATTTCTATGTGTGTTATTGGGGACAATCATTACAAGCTATTTGAATTACAGAGACTGCTTTATTTGACAAGACTACATAAGGTTTAGACTTTTAGGACTTCATTTGACAGGCATTTCAAACTTAGAACCTCATAACACTCTCTGATTCCATCAAACTGACCCTCTGTTTCCCACACATGACACTCATTTCTCATCTCCAAGCCTTTGCAAATTTGTGGGGGGAAAATGAATCCCACACATGCAGTCTCAAATCATTCCAGGAAAGCCATGTTTTGTTAGTTAAGGCAACATGTCTTACCATTAGGTGGTCTCACGTCTCCACCTGCTGGTGGATTAGAATTACGTGATTCTACTTCATTGGAAGAAAGAGCTGACCCAAGATTGGAACCAGATTCTAATGGCAAGGATGTTGGCTCCGGATCTTCCCGTATATGTAATTCAAGCAACTGGTGCCTGGCCTTACCATCTCTTTTCCCTGAATGGCTTGTGGTATCTTTTCTAGACAATGGTGCAGGGAACAATAATTCTTCCATTTCGCTGTCAGAAGATTGTTCCTCAGATGAGAGTACTTCTTTCTCCTGCATGGAGCTTTGGGGCGCCTCTGTGAGAAATGACAAATCAAAGGGAGGTGTATATGGCACAAGTGGATATTTGGTGGAAGTCTCCTCCAGGAGAGCCTCGCCACCATAATGGAAGTGTTCAGGCTCTTTTATTGCTTCTTCATCAAAATTTGTAACCATTGAGCTGTCTTCAAAATCACCCCAAGAGGCTGCTGAGAGACAGATAGTTTGTCTTCCTGTAGCGTTTTCAGGGTTGTTCTCTTCTAATGGTGATTTTTCCATGTCCTTCATTGTTCCGTCTGAAGTGTTCATTGCACCATTCAAACTGTGTCCTATAATAGCCTCATTTCTATCATAAAAAGGGCTTGTGGCTGTTAGGATCCCAGTGTTGGCATCTGGCTTCTCACCAGTTAAAGGATGTTCAGTGCTAATCAAGGCATTTGTATCTTTTTTACTTTCAGAAAAGATATCATCTGTTGTATATGAGCTATTCACCTTAATAATAGCTGGTGCCTGGGGAGTTATGATAGCATAGGCTCCCATGTTTTCAACAGCCAAATCTTCCATTTCCACTGGTTCCAAACCTGATGCTGTTTCTAGGGTGGTTTCACTTTTAAATTCTTCTAAGTTTGCTCCATTGTCACCAAGCAGTTCAGAAGGTTCAAAGGAAGTTCTGGGAGAGACTAGTCTATCAACATTTGCTTGTTCATTGTTTGGATGCAAGGAAAATTGTTTTTCAGGATGCATTCCCACATTGTGAATGGCAAATGTCTGTCTAGGAACCAGAGAAGTTTCTTGATTCCCCTCTGATTTGGTGAGATAAAACTCACTAGCTTCACCTCTAGGGCTGGCTGAAGCTTGGGCAAGATGCTGCCCAGACTCTTCCTTCATTTCATATTCATGACACACATCAGGACTGGTGGAAGACTGGGAGTTGCTCTCCTGGTCACAGTGATTCAATATGTCTGGATTTTCACCATCTGCTTTCAGGCTGAGGGGCTGTTCAGTATCAGTCCACAGATCAGGCATGGCTGAGATAATCTGCCTACCTTCTTGGAAATTGTCATGCAAAATATCTGGGAAAAATGTATCTTGAGGGACCCGACCAGGTGGGGAACTACTCCATCCAGGACTAGACTTCATTGTCATTTGAGAGGAAGGACTGATGGCAATGGAATCATTTGCATGAGTAAGTTCTGAATCTGGCTGATCCAGAGCAGGTAGCATTCTGTCTTGACATTGTTCTTGGGTATGGCTTTCAGGCACAAGCTCATTAGCAGCAGTTGATATGAATAGTTGCTCTTTCACATCCTTTTCTTCTTGGCTTGGGTCAAACTCATCAAACTGTTCTATCTGTACAGAATCTGAGGCCATCTGAGTTGGTTGGATATTCCAAGATGGTTCATAGTTTTCTTCATTGTCACCTTGAAAGAGTGGCTTGTTTTCATCTGTGAAAGGATCAACGTGAAGTGCTTCTTTGGATTCAAGATCACCCTGAATAAGTATATTCCATGGATCCACCTTTTGGTATACAGAAGAGGTCTCTTCTAAAACACTGTCTGAGTCAGAAGGTTTCATCTCTTCTGGGCTCTTTTTCTGGGGCAAGGTGTTCCACCATTCTGCTCTCTCAGCTGAAAATCCAAGAGTTTCCACTGTGGACTTAGGCTTTATTTCTGACTCATTTTTAGGAGACATTGGCAATGATGCCTCTTCACTTGCATCTTCAGCCTTCAGTGTCTCTGGAGAACATTTTGCCTCCTCTCTAAATCTGGTTGCCTGTTCCTCATTTTTATTTATAGGTGAGAAATTCCAATGATCAGGACTGCTTTGATCTTCATAAGATGGACTTCCTTGACTCTCACCTTTGGTTGAATCTCTATATTCAGAAAATTCCTGATTTTCATGGTCAGCTATGGTCAAACATACATTTTTTTCATTAAATATATTCCATATCCTAGAATTCTTCTGCAAATCTACTTGGGAAGTGATCGAATGAACTTCTTTCTCCAATTTATCTTCACCATTAGAACTGCCATTAATCCCTGAGCTTATTGTAATGGACTTAGTATCATTATTGAGTGCAGTTTCAGGAATTTCAGGTTCATTTTTTTGGTAATAGTTAACTGCTGAACTTCTTTCCTGAGATCCTGAATTTTGAGGAGTGTTGCCGCCATCAGGGCTTGAAAAAGAAGAAAGGGAGTCATCATCCTCTGCTTGGGCATTCCAGATATCTAAAGATTTAGGAGCTTTGTGATTGACAACCTTTTGGAATTCATCCATCATTTTTCCCTGTAAGTCTCCCACTTCAGGTACCATTTCTGGTTGATCATCAGTGGTAACAAGTTCAGAGTCTTTATTATTCCCTGTACTCCAGTCATCTTGATTCTTTTGCTGATAGTCTGCAGTCTTCACATCACCCAAGCTGGGTATAGAAGCAGATGGATCGCTTAGATCAGGGCTTGATGCACTCGAGTGTGTATACTCACTGGATACAATATCATCCTCACCATTTCCCGTTTGAAAATTGCCTGTAGCAAGATGATTTTTAATACTTTTCATTTCACAGTCTTCATTTATTTCAAGACTTGTTCCATTGGATTGAGAGTCACCACCTACACATGCATTCCAAATGTCAAGACTCTGGGGACTTTTAAGAAGAGGTGCCTTATCTACTTTCTCTGTGGATACACTCTCTAATACCGGAATTTTATATGTCTCATTTTTCTCAAGGCTCATTTCAGATAATGAATGATCTGTTGCCGCTTGATTCTGAATAGATAAAATGTTAGCAGTGTCAACTGAATTTTCCTGATCCACTAAATGCTTTTCACAGGCATTATTTATCTTCAGATTATTTGTGGAAGCTCTTGCTTGTGCATCACTGCTCCCTTGGTTAGTAGTATTGCCCTGGAATTCCACCAGCTCCTCTGAGATTTCATTGGTGTGGGAACTAGATGCAACTGAAGGAGAGATGCTTTTAATAGAGTTATCATGGGTCCCTTGAGTTTCAAATGCAACAGGAGAACAGAGTTCTGAGTCACCTTCTTCTCTTTCTGAACTTCCTGAAGCAGCATCTACCTCAGAACTTCTTGTATCCTCTTCAACTAAATATTCTTTATCAGTATTTTCTTGTATGTTATTGTCATCTTCACTGTGTTTATAACTCTGGTCCTTCCATATGTCCAAATGGTCAGGATGTTCTTTTTTCTCAGGACTTGTTGCAAAGCATCCTTCATTGCTCACTGAAGTACTTTCTTGTGTTTCCTGGTTGACAGAATCAGCCAGAGGGGTGACAGGTGTAAATGCTTCTTCCTGCTCATTTTCTAAGATTTCTAGCTTATCTGGGATGTTGATGTTCTTAACATTTTCTGATGAACTCAAAGTTTCCCACGGTGATTTGTTTTCATCTGAATCTACCATGTGTGATGGGTCAGGCAGTATTAAGGATGACACATTGTCATCTTTCATGACTGTATCCCAAATATTGCTAAAGATTTGCTGTCCACTTTTCTCATTTAATGAATTGAATTCATTGAAGGTGTCATCTTTTCCTTCCTCAGAGGCATTGTAAGGCATATGGTGCTCCCATCCTACCTGACTGTCCTCCTGACTCTCAACACTCCATGGTTCTAGCTGTCTCACTGAAAATCGAGTTTCTGGTTCTGTGCTTTCATGCATGTATCCTTGGACTTGCCCTTCTCTGGAAATCTCCATTCCCCCATTACAGTCATCCCAGTCTAAATCATTATCTAGATCTGAAATAGTTGCTGTTGATTGTGTGTCCTCAAGGATAACTCTATTCCATAAGTCAGTATTCTCAGGAGCTGCCTGCCTGTGGTCTGTGCTACTATGCATGAGGGTCAATTGTCGATTTGTTTCATTATACATCTGCATCATTCTAGGATCATCATAACTAGATTGGCTGCTTTCCCCAGCATCATCCTCGGCCGAGAGATTTTTAATATCTGGGTATCCTAACTTGAGCAAATCTTTATGTAGATTTGAAGGGACATTTGTTTCTGAATCAACTGTCACAGTCTGGTTCTCATTTGGTACATGTGTTGTCCACATCTCCAGGGTCCCGGGGCCTGAACCAATTCTATTTCTGTAGGCTGGAGGTTCCATTGGCTGAGGAAGATTTTCAGCATCATTTGACTTATTCAGTGAGGTCTCCTCTGCAGCCATGTTAACATCATGATCAAAAGTTTTGTCCTCGGTTTCTTTCTCCTCCCCTACAAATGTAGGTGATATGTATGAGTCTGATGTAGAATAGTTGGTATCCAATTCAGAAGCAACCAAATCTTCACCTACATTGTATGTGCTAAAGTCTGAGCACCTATATGATAAGAAAGAATCTTCCCAGGGAGCGGGACCTTCCTTATCATTCTCTTCATACAAGTTCCAGGTGTTTACCTTTTCAAATGATTTCCCCTTGATCTCAGAACCATTGAACCCATCCTGATTTTCCCTAAGCAGCTTGGAATTATTCCATACAATGTCAGAATCAAGACTAGGATTCTCAGATTCAATGTGCACATTGTTGGTGTCACCTTTGCTCTCATTCCAGGCTTCTGAAGTCACTTGATTATTTGGAGTTTTGGGCAAATTCTCTGATGGGAAATCTGCAGAAAAAGAAAAGTCATTCTTTGCCACAGCCCACTCATCATGGTCCCTTTTGGGAGGCAGATTTTGGTCCATCTGATGCACATTCCAGGCCTTTTTCAGAGCATTGGTGTTGTCTTCTTTACTAAATTTAGTCCAGGTAGGGAAAGGCTCTGAATCTGCCTGTCCACCACTGTCATTTGCAGGATTTTCCCATGGATCTCTTTCCATTGCAGAAGCTGAGCTGGGCTTCCACACAGCGGCAAAGTCTTCTATCAAGTGACATGTCCCCTGGGGGGAAGCATGTGATAGGTCTGATTTTTCAGAAGGCAGTTGCTGGTGTTCTGGATTGTCCTCACTTTGGTGGTGGGTATCCGAGCTGCCCACAGTCTCTTGCTCAAGTTTGCTCTCCCAGGGATCCAGTTTTGGGTATTCACCATGTCTCGCTTGCTTTTGCTGATATACAGAGTCAGAGGCCCTCCTATCAATGGGGCTTGCTTTGTGATCTTTCCAGGACTCAGGACTCTGGAAGACAGATTCCTGTTCACTGGAACTCCATGTGTCAGTGTTCAGAAGGGCAGAATTTTTGGAGTCAATTTCTAAACCACCCCACCAGCTGCTGCACCTCGTGCGGGTTTGAGTAGGCCCTGTGTGATCTAAGTCATTTAATTTTTGCAGCATGTTTTCTGGGAAGAGCAAGGTTGGGTCCTCTGTGAGTGGTGAGTTTTCCACAAAGCTGTTCATTGGAGTTGGTGGGACTCTTGTCCCAATGTTTTTCAGCCTCTCAGAAGGAGGAGAGTCATCTCCCACAAAATCAGTGAGGCTCAAAGTTCTTTCTGAGAGGTCCCCAGGGCTTTCTTGCCTCTGGGCAAATTCCCCATCGAATTCCAGAAGGCTATCTTTTTCAGCCACTGTCATCAGTAAACCTGCTGAGTAATTAGCCATGTCATTCCCTAATAGATTCATCTCATCAAGTTCCTTTGGCACTGTGGGTGGCTGTCCTTCTGATGAATCACTGTTGGGAAAGAAGTCATCTGCTGGGGAATAGTCAGCTGAACGGGAGGATGACTGAGATTGTGCGGAAACATTGGGTGCTGGGTCAAAGTTGAAAAGATCAAAATGTTCACCATCTTCTCCAGACTGTGGTTTATGCTCCTCAGCTATTGCTCCTTCAGGAATGGGACTATAGGAATCAAACCCTGGGAGGAGGCTATGATGAGACCCAGCACCTTCACCAACTGGGCTGTCATCACTTAGGAAAACTGAGCTCTCCTTGGAAGAACGACTGCTCCGAATGGTTGCCAACCCACTATCAGGGCTCACAAGATCTACGTTGACATCCACCTGAGCTGGGATGGAGCCATTAAGGTCTTGAGGGTTTTCTATGAAATTCACACAACTGGGCTGTGGTTCTACATCAGAGCCATACAACTCCATGATGCCAGAAGATCCCTGAGAAAGTGGTGCACTCCCAGCCACAGCTTCAGTGGAGGATGTCCGGCTGTTGGAGACCATTTCTGAACACCTCCTGTTAATGACTTCCTTGACAAGGAGAACCATCTGATCAGAAGTTATCATAGCATCCTCCTGCTGATACACCAGGATCTCATCACAGCCACATTCAAAGGGCTCCAGCTCCAAGCAAGGATTCTGACACTCTTCCAGTTCACAGCAGATCTGTCAGGAAAGCACAGCATTTCAAATGAACATGGCCATTCACCCCAGTCATCTTTGCAGCAAACTTCGTATCAAACCTATTTAACTACACAGGCTTGAAAGGATAAGTGAAACAAAGTAACTTAAAAACCAAGGCTTTCACTTCAGTGTAATACAGCCCACTGGCCTCCAAATGGCTGTACACACAAATTAGGTTTACACAAACCAAAATCAAAACCAGAGAGGTACAAGGATCTCCCTGGGAAAAGATTGTAACTGTACCATTGTACCACACTGGGGGATTTGGAGAGGCACTGTCCCATTTGAAAATAACTTGACTTCTGATGCCATATTTTCCTCCCACATGCTACACACCCCTCCTTCTAAGCTCAAGCTGTATACAGTGAATGAATGAAAAAACATTTATAAGCACTTACTATTTGCCCGCCACTATGCTAAATGTCGGGAACACAAAAACAAAAGCAAAGACGGTCCCTGCCCTCAAGGACAACTCTTTCTACATAGGGAAACAATACCTATAGGGAAGTGGTGGCCACAGAAGGGTATTTTGATATGGAAAGCTACAGGGAAGGTGATAAGATGGTAAGGGAGACACTGAGGATTTGGCAGAATCCACTGACATTCTAATGTACACAGAGCAATGACAGAGTAATCATATCCTCAGACTGCTACCTGTGACCTCTGGGAATGGGAGGAAGGAATGAGGAGTACTGCAGTGCCTTCCAGCACTCCCATGTATAAGCATTAGGATGTCATGGTCCTTTTTGAGAATGAAGGACAAACAACAACAATTAGGATTAGGAGAAGTACAAGATAGTAATTTAAAATCATCAGTGGGTATCTTCAGGTTGACTAACAGCTCAGTCAGAAAGTGACCTTAGGGTAAAGAAGAGGACCTAACTTCTTCCTATGGTAACTTGGGGGAGTGTTTGAAAATCCTAAGACATTTCCAATTGGTCCTTATTTGGAGGAGGGGGCACTGGGCTCTCCTAGGAAATTAGTATTTAAGGTCTATGATGATACTTTTAAAGACTTGTTTTAACCCAATGCCTGACATCTTCTGAAGCCTAGTATAGGACTGTCTTTTGCTACTTCTAGTTAAATTCTTAAAAGCTGACCTTCTACATGGACCATTTATCCCAATATTCTAAAGATCACTAATTTATAGCCAGAAATAACCTAGAGATGATCTAGTCACATCTTCTTGTTTTACAGATGAGGAACTGGAGGTCAGAGAGGCAATGTGATTTTCCTGAGGTCATACAGGTAATAAGTAGGAGAGGCAGGATTTGAACACAGGTCCTTGGACTCCTAATCGAGTACCCTCTCCTCTACACTACATTCTTAGAGCAATAAAACTACTGGGGCAGGATACTCACCTGATTGCATAACTCCACATTTTCTGAATATACAGCTATTTGACGTTTTGTCTGTTGGTCATCTGATAAGTAACTGGTCAAAAGGATGAGTACATCAAAGCCATACTTTTCGGTAAAAATCTTCAGGTCAGTGGTAATGTTTCTATGAAACATACAGTCCTGCAATAGAAGGAAAATGTAGACATTGTCATAGAATTCCCAATCTGGAGCTGGGGAGAGTGTGACACACCCCTCCACCCCCCACTCACCACCCCCAACATACACAATGGTCCTAAAACGTAATGGTCAACATTAAATATTCATTGTGAGTGGATTTATTTTCTTTTGATAATTTTTTGAGAAATTTATGCCATTTCTTAAGTTAAAGAGAAACTATAAAGTCAGTGTTGGGAATCATTACTTTTACAATAAAAGAAACAATTCTTTCCTACACAATGAAGAGCAGCTGTCATTGATGTCTGCAGGTAAAACATGTGGTGCAGTCACAAGGACATTTAAAGGGGAGGTAAGCATGGTGGGATGTAAGATGGGGCCACTCAGGAAAAGTCACACTTATGTAAGATGCCCAGTTGTTTTCTAAAAATGGAATGTATGGAGTTTAAGGGAATTCCAAAAGCACATATAGGATACATAGTGGAAATGGCTGTGAAAATACTGAGGGAGAGAATGAATTTGCAGTCAGTGACTGGGAAAAAGGAAATTATTCTGGTCACAGAGTTGTGGTGGGCAATTCATTGTGTTTATGCCTTCCCTCTTCCTGATAACAAGATTCAGTAAAGTCCTAGTGCTGGTGATCCTATCTGACTGCTTAGCTCTGATTCAATAGAATCAGAGACAAAGGTTAGTGTTAAATTAAACATTGTGCATACCATAGTTAAAAGAAAACTGTAGGATCATGGGAACCATTGGAAAAACCTGTTAAAACTAATTTGAACTCATTTGAACTCCATAGAAAAAATAGAAAATGCTCAATTAGCCTTTATAGTAATCTACTGGTCAGTTTAAAAAGCTAATGGCTTCCATTTCTGGGTCAGAGTTACCTTCCTCAAATGGCAGAATACTAACCTGCTATTGACAATTCCATTCAACAAATATTTATTCAACACCATGATAGTGCAATTGACTATGCTAGCATCCTTTTGTGTAATGGAGATGGTTCATTTGAGTTTGGGTTAAGGGCTCCCTTAAAAGGGGATGTCCTAGACTTTGAACAGTAGAAGAGTCCTCAGGAATTGGTCAGATAAAGAGGGGAAGTTGCCACTGATGAAACCTGACTCAAGGCTAAATCAACTGAAGTTCTTCTAAGAGAACAGTTCTAAGTTGTCCTCTATTATTATTTCTTAAATATAATAACAGCAAAAAGTAATTACCATTAATAACAATTCAGGCAAGTAGCATTTTAAAAAATTAATCTATCCCAAATATTTCCCAAATATTAAATAATAAGTATTTTGTCTCTATTTACATCAGCTCATCCCCAATCCTGATATACTATTCTGCCATTAAGAAATTAGTGAGGAGAAACAGAGCAAAGACGACAGAGAAAAGGCAAAGACTCATCTGAGCTCTTCCCAAAACCCCTCAAAGACTTTTAAATAGTTCTCTAAAACAAATTCTGAAGTGGAAGAACACACAAAAGGATGGGATGAAACAATTTTCCAGCCCAAGAAAACTTAGAAGGTGAGCAGGAAAGGTCTGTCTCACCAGGGTGAGAATGGGGCGCAGTCCAGTCAGGCCATATCAACATAGACCGGACCCCAGCAAACAGAAGCAAGCCTTGGGAGTGACCTCGTTGCTTCTGGAACACTCAGCCCACACCCAGGAGTGTGACTCTGAAGATGTAAGCAATCTCTCTTTGGTGGACAAATGTCATATCGCAACTATTACTGTTCCCTTTCAAAAATACTGCCACAGACATGCTGAAGGCCCTCATCACCTCACACCTGTACAACTGCAATACATTTCTGGTGAGTCTGACTTCTGTAAGTCTTACCCTGTTCCAGAAAATCTTCTATTTAGCCACCAAAGTGATTTTCCTAAAGTGCAATTCCAACTTTGGTATCTCCCTACTCCTTAAATTCCAGCATCAATTTATCACCTCCAGGACTAAATGCAAAATTCTCTGATTAGAGTTCAAAGACCTTTGAACTTCTTTCCACCCATCCCCACCCCAGCCTTTCTGGCTTCCTTAGTCATTACACTTCCCCCTCCTCCATGTACTTTTTGATGGAATGACATGGGTGTCCTTGCTGCCCCACTCCATGTCTCTTTTTTAAGCACTTTCTCTGGCTGTACCTCATGCTTACACAATAGTCTTTCACTTCACATCTTCCTCCTGGCCTTCTTGGCTTCCTTCAAGTCTCTGCTAAAATGCTGTCTTCTACAGAAAGCTGCTACTCAAGACCTCTAATGCTTTCCCTATGTTGATTATTTCCTATTTATACTTTATATATATATATATATAATATGTATTATATATATGCATATGTATTTCCTATTGTTTGTACATACTTCTTTGCATTTGTTTCTCCCTTTAGATTGTGAGCTCCTCAAGGGCAGGAACTGTCTCTTGCCTGTCTTTGTATCTCCAGCTCTAACTAAGCACAGTAACTAGCACATAGTGTGCATTTAATAAATCCTTATTGCCTGACCAAAAAAGAAAGAAAGAAAGAAAGAAAGAAAGAAAGAAAGAAAGAAAGAAATTAGGGACAACAATTGCCCTTTCCTTTTTCTAAAGCTTGTTGTTGCCCAACCACTGGGTGGAAATAAATGGAAGCTCCACCTCCTCGTCTGAAGAAGAAACCTACATGAAACATCCAATATTACTTTTCTCTTAACATTCAAAATCTGAAAATAGATTCAATTATCGGAAAGGATTGATAAAATATTAGATAAAAAAAATCAGGATTCCAAACAGGTTAAAAACTAAGAACTGACCATATACAAGATGGTCGATGCTCAATGCACAGATCTGCCTCTACAGGAGTTTGCATGAAAAAGATAGGGGAGCAGGGATTGGGGTCAAAGGGGAAGGAATGTGAGATGTGACTGTCAAATAAGTTAATGTGACTTTAAGCTGCAGTAATAGAAGCATATTATACAGAGCCTAGTTCCACAGTACTTTTTTTCTGGTCAGACCACCAGGAGTATTATATAAAATAGTCAGAGGCAGAATTTGAATTAGGTTAGAGTTCAAGCTATCTGACTCACACTCTATTTCTCTTTCTACTACACCCTTTATCCCATTTTATTTATTTGGAAACTTTAGTAAAGATATGATTGTTTAAAACCCTTAACAAAAAAAATTCAAAATTTCAGCACTAATTCTTCTCACTAACTTAGTCAAGGGTTTAAAAATAGAAAATGAATGGTCATGCAATGAGTTGGAAAATTTTAGAGTTGACAGGTACAATGGAGATCATATTCCTTCACAAAATCACAGAAAGTTAGAGGTGGAAGGGACCACAGGGTCTATGGGAGTTCCAACAAAGGAGTTCATCTAATCCAAATTGTACATGAACAACAATCCACTTCTACAACAGAGAAAAGGTAACTTGAATAGCTAAAAGATTGTTGGTAACCTTGGAAAGAGCAGTTTTCACTTGGATGGTGGGGTCTGAAGCCAGATTTCATGGAGATAAAAAATGAGTGAGATGTGAGGATGGAAGCTGGATGGCTCTTAGTAAGAATTTGACCATGGAAAGAAGGAAAGACATAGGATGATAGCTTGAGGAAATGACCATCAAGTGAAAATTTTATTTAAATATGGGGTGTTCTCAGAAGTTTTGTAGAGTATAGGGAAAGAGTCACTGGATAGAGAAATTTAAGTTTCGAGAAAGAAATAGAGTGATGGATCAATGGAATAGAACAGGGACACAATATACAGTAGGAAATGATCATAGTTAACCTAGTGTTTGATAATCCCCAAATCCAAGTTTTGGGGATAAGAACTCATTATCTGACCAAAATTTCTGGGAAAACTGGAAAGCAGTTTGGCAGAAACTAGGCATAGACCAACATCTCACACAATATAATAAGATAAGGTTAAAATATGTACACAATTTAGACATAAAAGGTGATATAAACAAATTAGGAGAGCATGGAAAATTTTACCAATGAGATCTGTAGATAATGGAAGAGTTTATGACCAAACAAGAGACAGAGAGGATCACAGGAAGTATAAATGGATAATTTTGATTACATGAAATTAAACAAGTTTTGCACAAACAAAACTAAAGCAGCCAAAATTAGAAGGAAAACAGAAAACTGAGGAGGAATGTATGGCAAGTTTCTCTGATAAAGGCCTTATTTCTTATATAATAGGGAACTGAGTCAAATTTATAAAAAAAAAGCTATTCTCCAGTTGATAAATGATCAAAGTATATAAATAAGCAGGTTTCAGATTAAGTAATCAAAGATATCTACAGTCATGTGAAAAAAATGCTCTAAATCACTATTGACTAGAAAAGTGAAAATTAAAACAACTCTGAGGGACCATCTCAAAGCCATAAAATTAGTTAACATAACAGAAAAAGAAAATGACAAATGCTGGAGGGGATATGGAAAAGCAAGGACACTAATGCACCCTTGGCAGAGTTGTGAACTGGTCCAACCATTCTGGAGAACAATTTGGAACTATGCTCAAATGGCTATAAAACTATGTACGCTCAGGAATACAACTGCTAGGTTTATGTCCTAAGGATACCAAAAGAAAAGGAAAATGACCTATATATACAAAAATATTTATAGCAACTTTTTTTTGTGGTGGCAAAGAATTGGAAATTGGGAGATGCCCATCAAGTGGGGAATGGCTGAACAAGTTGTGGTATATAATTGTGATGGCATACTATTGTGCAATAAGAAATGACAAGCAGGATGGTTTCAGAAAAACTCAGGAAGACTTGTATGAATTTTCTGCTTTTCTTCTAATCTTGGCTACATTGGGTTTTATTTGTTTAAGGACTTTTAAATTTAATGTAATCAAAATTATCCATTTTATATCTCACAATTCTCTGTATCTCTTATTTATTCATAAAATCTTCTCTTATTCATAATTCTGATAGGTAATATGTTCCATGCTCCTCTAATTTAGTTGGAATTATACATTCCTAAAATTACTCCATATTAAATCCAGTAACATGTGTGAGTCCAGAGCTACA